GTTGTTGTTGTTGCCGCCAAAGCGTGCAATTTTACTTTTGGAATGAAAATTTGACAGTCGATCGAACAGAACGCGATGGCTTAAGAGCGAGCAACTTGGTGCATGGTTGGATTGACCCTATCCCCCCCCGCCCGTCGTTTCCTTTGCAGGCGTTTCTGTATTGTGTTGTTTTGTTGTCACATCCTTTGCTACAGTTCCATTCCGACCTTTCCCCGCCTTTCATGATATGATAGTTCACCCGATGCCACCAACTCATGACCGCTCCCTGCTCAGTAGAATGTGGTGATACGGCTGCGTGCGTGTGGCCCGAATGAAATATCCTTCACTCTTGATGTTCGCTACTACAGCCCTGGTTACATCCACAATGTACCGCTCCATCCAGCGCTATGGTGTAGCCTGGGGCTTCCCGTGTTTTGTCTTGCGAAAAAGACGCTCAAACTCGGCCACTTGCCGCCTCCGAATTTTCAGGGGCGGTACAATCGGGAAAACAACAGAAACCCAACAGCAACCCGCGAGGCCCCGGCGCCGCCGGTCGTATCGAGTTTGACTACGGCCCGTACGCTATCTCCCTCGGCAAGCACCTCCGTGCTCAGAAGAACAGGAAGACGGGCGACATTATCATCTCGGAAAACCCGTCGGAGTTCTTCGAGTGGAGCGTCCCCAGCGTGAACAACGGGGAGGGGACGTTGGGCACCCAGCCCTTCGACAGCAATGGCGACAACGCGAGAGCATCCTACCCGTGCACGAAGGACGGTGCCAGGATCAAGACGGCGCCCAAGTTAGAGAAAGGCAACCTTTACCTGATGCGGAAGGCCAGGGAGTGGCACCAAAATGCGCAGGGGTAGGCGGGTACTCGAAACAAGGGCGAACGGGCGTCCTACCAAATATGAGATCCATGCCTGTCGGCTGTTAGTGCCGGCGAGGCCACATGCACGGGGTCTTCAGGGATAGAAGCCTCAAAATGCTGTTGTTATGGTTGTGAGAATCATCCTTTTATTATGTGCATATATCCTTGCGTTGACATGTGCGTAGTTTTTGTACAACACAAAGCCCCGATCAAAGTAGAGAAAAGAAGATGATTCTCCCGGGGTTGTAGTCTCAGTCAATAGGACGTGTTTGAACATTTTGTTTCATACACAAGATATCGGTGAACATTGCGTGAAAACTGTGTGAAAATTGGAAATTCGGTGAACATTGCGTGAACATTTAGTGTGTGCGTGTGTGTTTGCGCGCACAACACAAATCCAACGAGTCACAGTCTTTGCACAGTCACTGAGAAAGGAAGGACATGGACGACGAAGATGCTAGTGGATTGAAGTCACACCGTCCACTGCATGAAATGATCGTCGTTTATCCCTTCTACTTTGACAACCGAGCACTTCCGGCTTAGGGCAGGAGAACTCCGACCACCACGTGCAACTTTGACCCAATCACTCAATTCCAGCTCGTGCCCTGTGAATACGTTATGACTAATCACGACGTGGAGCGTCTTCAAATCGCTGAATACACGGAATCCGACTTCTTCAGGAAGCAATTTTCTGGCGTACAAATTAACTGATTTACTAAATCGATGGTTTACCTCGGCGGGCGTTAGGCGGGATGTATCTTTCATTCCGCGCAACCGATTGACACCCCCCATAAAGTGTTCGTATTCGCATAATAATGGTATCCGGCAGGTTCTTCCACCAACCTGGACATCTACCTCGTGAGTGCCGTGAGTACTGGGCGAAAATTGGACAACAGTAGCACCAATAAGTTCTGGCAGCCCCCTCCCAGAAACAAATGATAACGCGCACGCCAACTCAAAGTAATTTGCTCGGGGGTATGTGATAATTGCTCCCATGAGATCGACAAGGTCGCTTGCGTTCACTGTGATGCTCTTTTCGCACTTCGCTGCCAAGGCTTCTCGACGTCGTTTCCTTGGAATACTTTTTTCTTCCGGTGTGAGTTCCAGCTGAGAGACGTACGGCGGAAGTATATTTACCTTCCGTACGAGAGCGTCGATATCAACAAGCCCAGTGAAGGACTCCTTGTGGGAATGAATGGTATTGCGCGCTGCCCATTTGCCGAATAAATCCAACTTGAAAAACGAAATGATACGGCTCTCGGCTATTTTGAGCTGTTTCAAGCTGTATTTCTTCCTTGAATCACTCGATGTTTTCTTGGCCAGCGACGATGCCTTCCTCCGTGTGACTTTGAGTATGCGCTTAAGGTCCTTCCTGATGGCGCCATCGTTTTGGCCGGGACCGTATACTTGCATCCATTCTCGCCTGACTCGCCGGACATTTTTGTTGAGAGAGCCTGGATGCAGAGTCCTCAAGACCTCAAGAACATGGACCGGGTCTTTATTATCCTCCAACCAACGAGCACACTGGGGAATGAGATCGTTCATGATTGAATTATCTGTATACACACAACACATATTATTTCCTGAGTTTCTTGGAATAAAAGCTACCGGTCGACCACGGTACAATCAACTCGTCTTTCTCTTTTTCGACTTCCCTCTCCCTAGGCTTCCTCTGGCTCTGTTGCACTTTAAGCATTTCACATCTATATTATCGATCGTGTGCGGCAAAGCGCAGTCAAGACGATCGAGAGTCGGTTGGCGTTCACTAAAGACGGCCCAGACCAAGTCATGGTTGCACAAGTTGCACCTCCCCCCGTAGGAGCGGTGGAGTTCTTGGACGAGAGCTTCTCTGTGTTGTCCCCCCTCATCAGATCCGAGACGCTCGGCCGCAACGTCGGCGTATATATAACTTGAAACCTTCCTAGAAACCCACGATGCCCTCTCTCGGTCTGACATGTCGCTCTTGCTTCGGTGAATATCGTCGATGACCCTGACGTTCGACGGTCCGGTCGCTCGACTTATGGCGGTGTATATCCAGTACACATCGGCGTAAGGGTGTCGGGCCTGGTGTATGATCAGTCTCCCTTCTACCGTACGGCCCTGGACGGCGTGTACCGTGCACGCTCCCGAGGGGTCAAACAAGTTTTCCGCCTCCGCTCGACAGAGTGAAGTCTCCTGAAGGCTAGCAGCACCGTCGAATGCGCTCGCGACGACGACGGTCTCTGCCGAGGATCGGATGACGTTGTACATGTGATTCTTGTGAACCTTGCCCGGGTTCCCGAGGTCCCGATATTGTGCACCAACAACTGTTTTATGCCCCAGCACGTCCCAGCCTCCAGACTCGTTGCACCCCAGCAAGCCTCGAAACGCATAGAAACGAGCACAGTCTCTAGTGTAAGCGAGATGAAAGTCTGAAGGGCTTGGGTCGTCGAGACAATCACCACCAAATCTCTCGATGGCTCGAGTCTGTGCCTCGTGACTGTCGTTTCCTGCGGCCAGAATGTGCAAGAGGCCGTCGTCCATCTCCACCTGTTCGTCGACAGTTTTATCCCGCTTGCGCGCGAAGACATGAAAGCATGTGGGGAAGGCTTTTTCGAGGATGACCTTTCTGTTGACGTTGTCCCTGCTAATCGACATGCCGCTGCTCTCGCAAACGGGCTGGAGTTGGTGCGTGTCGTACGTCCCGATCACGTGGGTACCGCTGCTATGGGCGGCAGCCAGGACCATGCTTAGGGTCCGGAGAGGCATATAAGCAGCTTCCTCTATGATGATCACGTCGACCTTAAGTGTACGTATCGACCCCGCCGTCTTCTTCACATGAGAATCATCGCCCAGGTAGAATCCGAGCTGGTGGTCAGCGGTCTTTACATTCCAACCGGATGGCAGGTTTGTGAAGGACGTTCTCAGACTATTGGTAGGGGTAACGACCAACCCCGTTTTGAAGATATTCTTGGCAGCGTTGAAGGCACAATAACTCTTCCCCGCCCCTCCATGTTCTCCGGTCACCGCACAAACAATCCTTGAACCTTGTCGAGACAACGAGCCGCGGAGTAAAATTTCTAGTTTTGATGGTGACTCGGCCTCGCATATTTCCGGCCACATATTGCGCTTGGTGTTCTTGCCGAGACGACGCCAGGCGCTGTGAGCTTCTTCCATCGAACTGAAGTCGGTGCCGATGCCATCCCACAGAGGGATCACTAAAAGCCGGGGTTTTAACGGGCAAGGAATTTTCCTCATTGCCGGAGGTAACGCATCCAGCGATAGCTTGACCACGATGCCTTCGAACACCCTCCTCTCTCCACACAGCGGGTTCTTCAATGCCGGTTCAAACTTGAGAGTGCCGGGGGTTTTGTCGTTGCCGCTAAACAACTGGTTGAAGCGGAGTCTCATATTTTCTTGCACCGAAGAAGATCCCCTGAAGAACACCGCGTCACACTGGAAGCTAAAGTCGGACGCGCCGCATAGTTCGAGAGCGTTCCTCGCCTCCAACACTCGTAATCGAGTTTCGTCGAGAATGAGCGCACCTAACGCCCAGAAGCCATCTCTGTACCAGGTCCGTTCTGCGTCGAAACAAAGGTATGCATCACCGGTGTGAAGTGAGTCGATGCCAAGGTCCCCTTGTCCCGTACGAAGCTCGGCCTTGACGCGATCGACTTCGCACAGGACAGGGACAATTTTTCCACCCACAGCCGAAGCCTCGTCACTGCTCGTAACCATGACGGCATCTATCCTGTCCGCATATCTCTGCTGCAACATACCGCTCGCCCGCACGAATATTCCTTTTTTAAATCGGCGTGCACAGTCGGCATCCTCGAGGAGAGGATCACCCAGCTCATGCGCGAGCAGGTCTCTTACAAATTTGGGTATGTGGCACCTGCTGACCGTTCTGGATGGTCGCACGAAGTGGGTGACTCTATGGCGAGGCGCGTTGTCGATGAGGTCGAGGTAACGCTCGTAGTTTCGACCGAAGACCGGCGTCACATCCGCATTAAGGAATACGTCTGGCTCACCGAGCGCGTCCAGCTTGATGATGTATAGCGTCCAATCCTCGATGTTGTGGCCATCGAACTCCTCCACCTCATCCATGTGGCCGAAAACGGGCACCGTCTCCATGTTCATTAGGGCGGCCGTGTGGGCCCCGTTTATGTCACATTGCCAGTCTTCCCTTCCGTAGGAACTCCCGGACGCGTCCTCTGCCCCGACGATCGGCCCCCGCCAGCACACCTCAAGGAGGGCGAGCAGAGACTGGCTGTACTGGCTCGATACTCGAAAATCCAATACCCCGCGGTGGAACTTCAGACCCAGGGCATTATGCAGCTCGATCAATCGTGTTGCCTGGTCGGGCTCGAAGTCATCGGGATCGAGCCCACCCATGCTCGCGCTGCACCAGGTTCGGATGACTACACCGTGCGCTGGTAAGGACAGTGAATCCCAGCGACTGTAGTTCGTGAGTTTACCCTTGCACGAGACCCCAGCGAGGTGTAGGTGGAGCATGAGTTCGTCGAGGGCCGTTCCTGGAGGCGCGTACCACGTCTTGCTTTCTGATACCTTCCTCCCATGCTTCCGCTTTTCTACTGGCTGTCGGTTGTGGTCCCCCCCTGTTTGGTTGATGGCCATGATATCACTCACAATGTCAGCGACACACGAGAAGGTCTTGGTGCCAAACCCAGTCGTATCTGGTTCCTGTTCTTCCACGGTCATCTCAGAAATTCGACGGAATTTACGGTAAGTTCGTACACTGTGATCGATTGCCACGTCGAGAGACGATCCAAACCTGTCTTCTCCCCAGGGCCCCTCGAGCACAAGCCGGTACACGTGTCCCTCACGAACCCCAACGTGTAGTGTGGGCGGTTGGAGGTTCGTTTTCCCGTCGGATGGTCCAAGAATGTTGGCACCAGTGCCCCGATGTGACCACACCACCACGCTGGCGTTGGTCATATGGAGCCACTTTTCGAGATGCAGTAATGTCAGGGCGGGTGGTTCTGCATCCCCCGAAACCCATGTGTCGAACTCTACTTCCCCGATGTCTCGCTCCAGTAGAATCGAATACAGGTTGCGGAAGTAGTTCCCACCGTCAAGAGCGTTCTTGTGTTGTACAGGCGCGCCCTTTTTTGGTCGACCACCACGAGATGAGATCATAAACGCACCCGTGGGATCTACATCGCGGAATCCAAACCTTCTCCTCTCCTTCGTTTTTTTTAGCAGGTAGACTTGACTATCGCGCCAAACGTCGGCGACGAGGACAGCGAGACAGGCTCCGGGGAGCTGTTTCTGCCATTTTTTGCCGAATGCGGTGATGGGGGCATATCTCACAACTCTGTGCCCGAAGGTCGCTATGTTAAGCTGTCTGAAAAAAGGGCTCTGTGAGTCGATACCAGATCGGACCTGGAGGCTCACAAGAGAGATCGGGATGCCGGTGTCGACTTCGATCCTCCTGCCAGCTGACGCCCAGCAGAGGATTACTCGCCAGCTCTCGTCGGCCGCTGACACAACCAGCTGTCCAAGGCCACCACCCTCTACCTCTACAAACGCCGTGCGCCAAGCCTCGGCGTCACGCGGGTGGACCATGCCTCCCTGCAGCACCGTCCTCGCCCAAGTTTGAAAATTGTACAGGTTGGGATCTCCTCCGAGGGGGTGCGAGTTGAACCACCTGTATCCCGGCCCCGGCGAGGAAGGGAAGGAGATACGAACCCTAAACCCCGTGCCGAAGACGGCCTGGCGCCTATAGGTGATCCCTCCAGGCCCCAAGTACCGCCACCCGTTGCTCCTGCCTGCGAGGGGAGCGGCCTGGTCTACCTGCTCCACGTAGCACCACCGGTAGCTGGTGGCATGTGGTGATGATACAGCTGCCGTGGATGCCCGTGCCATCCTCTCTTTGAAATGAGCCAACATAATTTTTCTCTTTTTTTACACGAAGCGTCAACCACGGTGGTGGCACCGTTGACTGATCACAATAATATATCTGTCTCTCGATTACTCCGTGTGGTGAAGACGCGATTGTATTGTAGAAAATGTCTCTTCTCCTGTGAGGGCAGGATGCAGTTGTGAGCGTGTGGGTGTTTCCTGGCGACGATTGTTTCCCGTCAAGATTTGTCGCAGCTCTTTTTTTTTTCAAAGACCGTCCGTCCGTCGTGTGGGTGCGACAAAAAAATCACAAGAAAAGGGGCGAGGATGGTGGGTTCAATACCACCCAGCCTAGAGTGGATCGGAGGAGCCGGTAGGAAATGCGTTCCTCCTGGACAGAAGAAAGTGGGGCCGGCGATTTCCCGTGGAAGTCGGGCGTCATCAATCAGACCAATCAGACCAATCAGTCAATCACGGGGAATTTGAATTTTTCGAGTTTCCCCGAAAAGGCGACCTCACAACCGTGGCTGACGTCATCGGTCGACCATGGAATTTTCGTCCACAGGAAATTTCCTGTTAAAAAAATTGGCCAATCAGAAAACTGCGGGGACCTTTTCTCTCTCTCTCTGCTGCTTCTACCGGCACCCGCAGCCCGTCCTCGTTAGCAACAGGGCAAAAACAAAAAGGGCCACAAAAACATTTGTTAAAAAAAAAAGGCGGGAATTCTAGTTGTGTTAGCTCACACCTTTATCTTGCAGCCACGAAGATTGTTGTATCGGAACCACACGTTGCCCATTCAAGCCTCACCCAAAGAAGGATGTCTCGCAGACAACACTTGCGTATACCCGAGGACCAAGCTAGCTGCATGCAAAACAAAAAATTCGATTTGCTTAAACACCTATGATACATTGTATTCAACCTTGCTATTGGGACCATATCAAAAGCGCTTCTTCATAATTTAGGGAGCAAAATTGTACCACGTAGTGTTGAAAGGGAAAACTAGGAGTAAGTAAACTTTTCACACAACAATGCCAATCTCCGCGAACACCAACATCCTCCAGCATCGGGAACAACATCCTTCATACGCAAACCAACCCAATCGTGTGGTCATACAAAACGGACAGCAAAAACTGACTATCACGACGAAGAGGTTAAACTGCCAGCCGTACAAACCCCCACCAGGTGATGGGGGGAAACATATCCAATCTTCGCGTCCGCGCAAAGATCCATCCCCCTTCGCTCGTGACACAGCCAGCAGCACCACGCCCTCTCTAGCTTCGGGGCAAAAAGGAAACAACAACCTCTTCGAGCAGGCGCGCACAAAACCTTTGCGCAAGACCGAGGATACACCGCCACTCCAAGCCGTGAAACTCCTACGAGCTGCCGGCATCAACCCCACAGAACTGGTGTAGCTCACGTTTCGTGCCACCAAATTGAGCGGAACGCGTATGACAAAAAAGAATATGAAGAGGAGTCTTACACCGACTTGGGGGGGGGGGGGGGGGGGGGNGGGGGGGGGGGGGGGGGGGGGGGGGGGGGGGGGTTCAAGGCGCGATTAGGTAGCCGATCATACCGTTAGCACCGCCCCCCGCCCCCCCGCAACAAAAAAAGGTTGCTAGGGACACGCGTCAACGGACGTCTATTATATATTCAATGGTTGCAACCAAGGCCTCAGCTTTTCAAGAGAAAAGCCGTGGTTTTATTTCCAACCGAAACCTGGGGGGTCGCTCGCTCCCCGTGATAAGAAAACATGTAAACGCATGAGGAAACCCGCCCGACAATATCAAGCCAGGCCAAAGGTTTCACAAGAGCACAAACGAATAACCACAGCCACAGCCACAAACAAATATTAACGACGACAATACGATATAAAAAAAACTCCCCGTCTCCTCCCGTTATTTAGTTTTTTTTCCTGTAACCCCACCAAATATGACACACCCTGTGTCCCGTGCTACCCGAAACCAACAAGAGAAGACCCGCGTTCCACGCCCAGCAACACCATACACGGAAACAGAGCACGCGCCGGGGCGAGGGGTGGGACATCGCCGTCATGAGGCGTCTTAGGTCAAATCTGGCAAGTGCCGCCCCCACTCTCCTATGTACTTGTTTGCCCGTGCCATAATATCCAAATCGAGGACTGGCGGATATAAACGGCGGCAATATCATCATTTTACAAGTTTTTAACGGTGATCTCGAATCCGGTCACTGCCTACACAAAAACAGCGGCCGGGTTTCTAGGTCAAAGAACGTGTCGTGTAGTTTCAGCACGCTTATTTTTTGTTTCGCTCGTTTTCTCCGCCCGCTAGCCCCCCCGCAGGCAGGTAGGCAGGCAGCAGCGCGAAGCGGATGCGCTACTTCAACGACAGGAAACAGCAACACGGCGATGATCGGACAGGGGGGCTTCGCCCACTCGACCCGTAAGAAATACAGGCAACAACGACAACAGATATCCAAGGGAATGGGAGGGGCACAACACACTGCGGCCCACGCTTTCATACAAACCACAACTTCATGTACTATGTAGGAACAACGGAGATCAAGCGAGGGGGAGCCCGAAACCGGCGAGGCATGCACAAGAGGCAAAGCGTACAATACAACGAGAACCTCCCCACACATCACCCGACCGGAGGCTTTGGACTGGACGACAACCCGGGGACCACGCGAGCAGCCAGCCTTTCACGCTCACTGCGCGGACTCGCACATGCCAACAACCGAGACCCATGCCGACAACCCGCAACATTTCACGCATACTCATGAAGCCGGGGAGGCGGGTTGGAGGCGCCAGCCACCATTCATGGTTCTCATAGACAACAGGAAACATTGACTGACTAGACTGAATTACGACAGGGTGTTTTAACAAGACACGACAACAACAGTGACAACGACAACGATGCTGACAACGACCAACACTCTTGACGAAAACCCGAAACTACCCGACAGTCTACCAAGGACAAGCCCGAAACTTTCTCGCGGCAAAACGATGGACTGGGGAAAAAAGGGAACGAAAATACGGGCGGGGGGAACAATGCCCCCGAACCTCTCAAACAACCACACATAAACGAGAAATGTTATACAATATGAAATTCCTGTAGTGCCCGCCGAAATTCACAACACACCCGTGATCCTCCCGCTGTGCAATATATGTGAAGGACTGACGAAGAGGAACCGGAAAACGAGCCTGTGCCTTATTTCTTCCTCTTCCAAGCCCCGCCGTCTCCACCGACAAATCACTCCCAGCCGAACAGTACCTTGAACGGTCCACAGGGGACGGACGAAGGAAAAGCGAGCAAGGTCCCTCCTTCCCGAGGAGACAAACGAGACCAGCAAGCACGCGCACCTTGCCGTCTCGGCCGACGCCGTTGTCCGTGCTCTTAGAAAGCGGGCAACAAGCTGCGTATACAACTACAGAGTCTGCCGCCGCCGGCGCCGGCGCCGGCGCCGCTGCCGCCGCTGCCGCAGCAGAAGCAGCGGCCGGGCCACAGGCCACAGCCCGGCCGCCAAGCAGCCACACGGGCGCTGTCCCGACACCAATCCCAAAAACCACAACAACAACAACCCCTCGGTTCCAATCAATCCGAAGCCATCATCGACAGCAGCAGCAAGGAATTATTATCCACCGAGCGGGGAACTAGCGTCATCACCATTGACGCTGCGGCAGGGACGCCGCCGCCGCCGCACTCTGCGGAGCCCCCGCCCGTGGCAACAGCAGCATCCCCCCGCCGCCCCCGTGCTGAACCGCTCCGCCCACCGACTGACCCAGGTGGAAGCTCGCACGCGCCGCCCGCTGCTTGATCCATACTGCGTCCTCCAGCTCCTCCCGGTGGCCGTGTCCCCCGCCCTCATACCGCGCGGAGGTGGCGTAGTCGTCTTCGGGGGTGGGGCGGCGGCGTTCCCCCATGGAAGAGGCGTTTCGCAATAGGTGGCCGTCCCCCTGTTCCGGAGACAAGGAAAGATGGCGAGAGCAAGGGTTCATTCGGTGCACTGCAGAGGAGAAAGCGGGCTCGTCCTTCCTTCCTTCGCGATACCCAATGAACACCGCTCAAAGGAGGAGCCTCAAAGCACATTTATTTGCCCGTAACATACATCTGTAACAAGCAGGAACTAACTTCAGCCTCGAGTGCAAAGCCCCGTTTTGACTGGTGCGGCAGCAGAGGGTATCACAAACGAGGTCTATCGACGAGGATACGTGCGGAGAGGTGAAGGAACCGGTCGCGCCTCGCGAAGACCGTACAGAACACTGAGGAATGAAAACATACCAACACACCATCCGTCGTTCACCCACTTCGGACGGGGCGGTTATACTCATAGTCGCGACTGCCGTAGTCGTTAGACCATTGACCTCGCATCGCTACAAAGCCGGGACGGAGCACGCAGGGTTTCCACTGGGCCAGGCTCTTCGGACGGGGGAAGGCTATCCGGCATGCTTGCAATTCCCGTGCCCCCCAGAGAAAAATAGTGCTCACAAAAAACACCCACCGTAAACGCGCGCTGAGCCTCAGCGTGAACGGGGGCGCCAATTCTCTCCTCGCGCTGACGACCGCCTCCAGATGGCCCACCGCCGGCCATCGACAAAAAAAACTGCGAGTACTCCCGCCTGATGGCATCATCCCCGCCGCCGCCGCCGCCGCCGCCGCCGCCGCAACCACCGCCGCTGAACTCGTGCGAGCGGCGATGACCCGCGTTGATCGCGGCGGCGTCGCCGTCGCCGCCCAACGAAGCCTCGACGCCGCCGCCCGCCGCCTTGCCGCCGTTGTGAAGCATCGCCGCCGCACCGCCCGCTCCACCGCCGCTAACGCTAGCCGCCACCGCGGTGGGAGTTGTCGAGGACGAGGGGGTCAGCTTTCTAGGGGAGAGCCCGTTGGTTGCCGAAGAGGCGGCATCATCGCTGAGGATGTGCGGCGGGGTCCCCGGCTCCGCCACGACCGGTAGGGACAACGTGCTCGCGCTGCGGTTGTGCTCGTGCTGTTCATCCACTAGCCGCTGGTACTGCTGCTGCTGCTGCGGAAACGGAGCAGCGGCACCGCCGTGCCGCTGCTGCTGCTGCTGCCTGCCTCGAGAGGCGTCGCTGTTGCGATTACCGTCATCGCGGGGAGAGAGCAAGAAGGTTTCTTCCCGATGAGGTGGCGGCGGCTGGGTGTACTGCTGGAGTTGGGGGGCAGCGGCGGCGGCGGCGGCATCGCCGCTTGGCGGATGCCCGTGTGCTAGATAGGCCTGTATTCCGCCGATGCTTCCCCCGCCGCTCGCCCGGAGCTCGGCTAGAACCGGTGCCAAGACATTTAGGTCCACGGACCTGACGTAAAAAAAAAAAAGACAAGAAAGAGGGNGGGGGGGGGGGGGGGGGGGGGGGGGGGGGGGGGGGGGGGGGGGGGGGGGGGGGGGAGGAATGAACACGCTAGGACGGAACCAAAACTTCAGGAAACGAAAAAAGCAGACAGAAAAAGAAAAAAATGCAAGGTCGAGAACCCTACCCAAAAACTTCTCTTTCCATCAGACGACCGACACTCCAACGGCGACACTACGAACGGTATGCATGGTATGTAAACTCATGCAAAACAGTTGGGGACGGAATTCCATCCCCGTGCACGGGCAACGACACAAATAATAGTAGCCTAGACGATCAACATGATCGGGGGCACAACCAACTCACCCGCTGCTCATGCCGCGGTGATGGCGTCGCCCTCCGCCGCCCCCGAAGCTACCGTAGCTCCCCCCGAAGCTTCCCGGGCTGCTGATGCTGCCCCCCCCCCGGGGCGGCAGGCTGTACCCCTGGCCTTCGGCAGCTCCAACGGGCTGGAAGAACAGCCCCCTACCGCAGGAAACACCACGAGGCGATAAAAAAACAAAGAGGATTCAAATTAAGCACTTCGTGTTTATTGTTGTTTTTATTGGGGGGGGGGGAAGATACTCATCCCCAGTACCTGCTATCTTGCTACCATTCCCGTGAGGAGCGAGCTACTCGAGCCAGCTCCAGGAGAGCGCCACGGGAGATAGAGGCATGATCAGCAAAAAACAATATTTGTTCCTGTGCACACACGACACGAAACGCTACATTGCTCCCGGAGCGGTGGTACAACTTACCATAGAAAACACGAAAAAGGCGAAGCTCCGCAATTAATATCCTGCTTGTCCACCCCGGCTAGTGCTTCCACAGCACATACCGAAAGGCGTTACCACTCGACGTCGATGGCCGCGTTTCTGTCTCCAAAGAGACCGATTGGCAGAGGAAAAAAAAAAATCTCGCCCGCCCTCCCGTCGAAACAAAGGATATGCAGCATCATCGCCATCAACACCATGACTAACTAACCTTCGGCTAGCCTCCGCCAGCGCGCCGCCGCCATTACTGCCGCTCCCGCCCAAGTAGTTGAAGTGCGAGAAACAGTCCGTGTTTGGGTCGAACGAGGCCAGCCTGCGGTGCCCCCGGTGAATGGTCGACTTCTCCGAGGGTGGAGAGAGGTTCAGGAACGAACCTCCAACCCCCATGTCGACGTCTGCCCCCGAGCCCTGTCAAGGAGAGGGAGCGGTTACCGTAGGTGGTTGCGAGAAAAAAATCGTGAGTACGTTCAGGCGCTGTACAACGGAGACGATGGACCGCCAACCTTGAGGCAAAAAAAGAAAGCACGGGAAAAACAACCTTGTGTTGGAGGAGCAGTTTTTTATTCGATAACGTTACACTACTGGACTAGTCAGCGCTGACTGAGTAGTCTAGTGGGTGAGCTTTACCACTCGATAGATACACGCACAGGTTCAAATCCCGGGCTGATCACTTTACGAAAAAGCACCAAAGTTCTTTTCCTGCAGCGCCTGGCGAGAGGTCCGTCCCCGGAGATCTCTACTCAGTGCCAGGGATTCTACGTTCGATTGGTAAAGGCTTACCCATTAAATTACTCAAGTCAGCGCTGACCAGTCTAATGGTGTAACTTTCTCTTACAAAAGATATACGCTCAGCTCGTTAGCACCCGACTGGATCACATTTTTGGGGTTTACGGCTTGGATCTCCGGGGACGGACCCCTCGCCAGGCGCTGACTGCAAAGAACGTAATGGTGCTTGGGAGAGTGAGTAGCCGGGATTCGAACCCGTGCGTGGAACTTTAGTCGCCAATTGTTAAACCATTTGTCAAGCCAGCGCTGACTGAGTAGTCTGATGGGTAAGCCTTTGCTATCAAAAGATACACTCTCGGCTCGTAGAATCCCGGGCTTTGAGAAGCGATCTCCGGGGACGGACCCCTCGCCAGGCGCTGCCGATAACAGAACTATGATGCTTTTCGTAAAGTGATCAGCCCGGGATTCGAACCTGTGCGTGCATCCTTTGATAGTAAAGGCTTACCCCATTAGACTACTGAGTCAGCGCTGACTAGTCGAAATACTGGTAAGTAGAGCTTCGACAGCACGATGGATTCATTGCTACGGTCACCATGCACTCGGTTCTATGGTTCGAGATGAATATGATATGGTCTGTTAACCGTGTAACTAGTTCTATTGTTCGAGATGAGCATGGTACGGTTTGTCTCGGAAGAAAAAAAAAGGAACGGGGGGGGGGG